CCTGTCCTGGGTAGTACAGCTTCCGTACCACACACATAAGCCATAAGTGAGCACGCTCTCAATGGCACAGTGATAGAAGGCAAGCAGCAGTTTCTGCGGAAGATGGTTTTTCCTTAGTATTCTCAAAAAGTACAGTCTCTGCTGCGCCTTCTTCACAAGCCCCCTTGTGTTGACACTCCAGGACAGATCCTCTTGTAATTCAATGCCCAAAAATCTGAACGTTGTTACCCTCTCCACACAGACCCCATCAATCAAAAGTGGCTGGACGTTGCTCTTCTGTCTCCTGAAGTCCACCACAAGCTCCTTTGTCTTCCTTGTATTTATGAGCAAGTTGTTAGCTCTGCACCACTCTGTCAGCCGCTCCACCTCATCTCTATAATCCGTTTCACCCTCCCTTTCAGGGATGAGCCCAATCACGGTTGTGTCATCTGCAAATTTGACAACCCTATTACTAGGGTGAGTAGCGACACAATCGTACGTGTAGAGAATATAAAGGAGCGGACTGAGTACGCATCCCTGTGGTGTTCCTGTGTTAGTCTTGAGCATATTAGAGGTATAAGGGCCCAACTGAACCCTCTGGGGGTGGTCTGACCAAAAGTCCAATATCCACCCACAAAGTGATAACGGAACCCCCAGATCTTCCAGTTTAGACATCAGACGTTGTGGTAGAATGGTATTAAATGCCGAGCTGAAATCTAAAAAAAGCAGTCTGGCATAACCCCCCCGCTGCTCCAAATGTGCAAGGACGGCATGGAGGGCAATCGCCACAGCGTCCTCTGTCGATCTTTTCGTTTTATAAGCAAATTGGAATGTGTCCAGTCCCTCTGGTAGGCAGGCAATGACATAATTTCGTACCAGCTTTTCAAAGCACTTCATGATTATAGGTGTGAGTGCTACTGGACGAAAATCATTCAGATCTTCCGGGTTAGATTTTTTGCTATTGGAACGATAATAGAGGACTTTAGGCAGGATGGAACAATAGCCTGGGCTAGGGATCGATTTAAAATCTCAGTGAAAACTCCTGCTAGTTGATCTGCACAGTCTCTCAATACCCTTCCAGCTACCCCATCTGGCCCTGTGGCCTTCCTTGGGTTGATTCCCTTCAACACCTTCCTCATCTCTTCTTTTCCACAGAGACTACTGCATTCCTTTGTACTGATGATGGTAATGGTGGTGATGATGGCAAAGCCTTCACAGGGAGTGGTGGTGGTGTTGGTAAAGCCTCAGCAGGTGTTGCTGCAGATGTTACTTCAAAACGGGCAAAAAGGGCATTCAAATCCTCTGCGAGGGATGCCCCTCCCTCGTCTACCAGGGAGTCCTTGGATTTATACCCTGTTAATTCTTGTACACCTTGCCACACCTGCCTGGTGTCGTTACTTTGTAGATGATTCTCCAGCCGCTGTCTATACGCCTCCTTTGCTACACGGATACCTCTCTTTAGATCGGCTCTAGCTAAGCTGTACAGCGACTTATTTCCACTTCTGAAAGCAGTATTTCTTGCCTTTAGCAACCCCTGGACCTCCCTTGTCATCCAGGGCTTCCTGTTTGGGTAGATCTTTATCCGGCGCCTCCGTGTTACATTGTCAGTGCAGAACCTAATATAGTCCAACACTTGCTCAATATGAGTCTCTACATCCTGTTGGGCGAATACCTCCCAATCGGTGTCATGAAAACAGTCTTGTAGTTGTTGGGATGCTTCAGCTGGCCATATTGTAATATCCCTCTTTATAGCTGGAATCCGTTTCCTCAGTGGAATATATTCAGGAGTCAGGAGCAGGGACACATGATCAGATTGGCCTAGATGTGCCAATGGTTCGGCCTTATAGGCCTGTTTGACATTTGTATACAGCCTGTCCAGAGTCTTTTCTCCCCTGGTTGCACACTTTATGTGTTGATAGAATTTAGGTAGGACCACTTTCAAATCTGCCTGGTTGAAATCCCCGCATACAAGAAATGCAGCCTCGGGGTACTTGCCTTGTTGCCTGCTAATGGCATCATGCAGAAGACCCATTGCCTCATTGATGTTTGCATCAGGTGCAATGTATACTATAGTTATCAGTACTGCTGTAAATTCTCAGGGGATATATATAGGTCTGCATTTAAGCGTCATAAATTCCACAGTTGGGGAGCAATAGCTAGCTATCACAGCGTGGTTTGTGCACCAGCTGTTATTCACGTATGCACACAAACCTCCCCCCCTTCTTTTACCAGAGTCCTCTGTTCTATCATGGCGGAACACTGTATAGCCTGTTAGCTCTATGGCTGAGTCAGGAATAATTGGTGTCAGCCAAGTTTCTGTAAGCAGCAGAAGACAGCATTCACTCACAGTTTCCTCCGTTGCTATCCACAATTTCCACTCCTCCAGCTTATTCACCAAAGATCTCACATTCGCATAGAAAATGCTGGGAAGCGGTAAGTTATAATGTTGTATCTTGAACCTTAATTGCCTTAATCGCCTTCCTCCTCTACAGCCTCTCTTCTGTTTACGGTCTCTCCTGTGTCTCTTTACTCCCCAGTTCTTTGAAGTCAAAAAATCTTCCTTGCAGACGCGGAGACACTCACAATTTGTGCAGCACTCACTCCGTAGCCGAATAGATAACATGTCCTGCCGACTATAAACAAGTCTATTTTGGCAGGACAAAAAAGCCAAATTCTGAGTTGAGGAGCAACCAGCCGCAGCATCTACACGCGCCGCCATGTTAGGTCCCCAATATCAATGGTTACATTATTATTGTTTATTTTATTGGTGTTGTGTCATTGGTTTTTGTATTTTGTAAACCACTTAGAATCCGGTTTGGCATTAAGCAGTATATAAATGAAATAATAATAATAATAATAATAATAATAGCAACCGATTACCCATAAATAACATTAATTAATTCCTGACATTAAACACTACAAAAGGCTTGAGTGCAGAGTTATATCTTTAACAAGCTTTGAAATACCATCACCATTTGCTCTTGCTGGCGTTCCCAGTGGAGATCATCCCCTAGGAAGGGGACCACCACAGAGAAGGCCCTGCCACTGATTGCCTCCAATCCAGATTGTGGCACAGCCAAGAGGGCCTTTGCACAACTGGGAAATAGATGCTCCTGCAGATTGCATGGGGGGCAAATCTGCAGCAGGAAAGTTCACTTACAGGCCTGCCTGACCAACTTGAAACGATGCTTTTTACTGGGCGGCATGTGGCTATAGTTTTCTGTGTCATAAAGCAATGCATATATAATGTGCGATAAGATTTGGGTATACACTGCAAAACCCATTTAGTCTTGTGGATAAGCACCCCTAGTTTACAATGTCAGCATACTGGAAGCATGTGTGGAGGGGGACAGGCTTCAGCCATCTGCAGAGATAAGGGAGTTGGTTTTGCTTCCACTTCTCCTTTCTCGGTGTAAAAAAAGTGAGAAAGCGGCTTCTTCCCTTCTCTGCATGGGGGCAAATCAAAGTAGAACAGGGGTGCTTTAATCCCTACAGAAGAGGCAGTGCGAACATTGCAGAAATTAAGTACTTTACCTTTGAAGGTGATGTGAGATTAAGCTGCGGCTATTTGGAAAGGTGGGAGGGAAAACATCCTTTACAAGAGGATTTGACATTTCCCTCAGGTGCACAGCTAGCAACCGTAAATCAGCTTCCCTGGTTCTGAAACCTTTTTCAGAGCCTCAGAATTGAAATTCAGCTGGGCATTCCGGAAGTCACGAATGAATGCCTTAGACTTTTCCTTCCAAAAATGAGCCATTGCTTTCTCAGGTACACTGGCAGCTCTGAAGTATCAGAGGGGAATAAAAGTAAAGGTAAAGGTACCCCTGACCGTTAGGTCCAGTCGCAGATGACTCTGGGGTTGTGGTGCTCATCTCGCTTTACTGGTCAAGGGAGCTGGCGTACAGCTTCCAGGTCATGTGGCCAGCATGACTAAGCCACTTCCCGCGAACCAGAGCAGCGCACGGAAACGCCATTTACCTTCCCGCTGGAGCGGTACCTATTTATCTACTTGCACTTTGATGTGCTTTCGAACTGCCAGGTGGGCGGGAGCAGGGGCCGAGCAATGGGAGCTCACCCCGTCGTGGGGATTCAAACTGCCGACCTTCTGATCGGCCAGCCTTAGGCTCGGTGGTTTAAACCACAGCGCCACCCGCGTCCAGTTATCAGAGGGGAATAGAGAAGTGCATTTGATGGGACTTTGAACCATCAATTAACACAGCAGCTTCAAAACAGCAGCAGAGCCCAAGCTTGATTCTGCAGAGTCCCTCTGAGAATACAGTGGTATCTCGGGTTACAGACGCTTCAGGTTACGCGTTTTCGGGCTGCACACCGTGCTGAACCCAGAAGTACCGGAACGGGTTACTTCCGGGTTCCAGCACTTGTGCATGCACACAAGTTCTAAATTGCTCTTTGCACATGTGCAAAAGCATTGAATCATGACCCACTCATGCGCAGACGCGGCACTCTGGGTTGCGAATGCTGCGGGTTGAGAACGTGCCTCGCGCACGGATCATGTTCGCAACCCAAGGTTCCACAGTAGTCAGGAACACGGAAGCCTCAGAAGCCCAGAGTAAGTCTGTGGCTTGGCACATCTCCCCTGGTGCCCTGTATCTCAACCCTCTGCCTGAGCCAAATCATCAATTCTCAGTGTGATGTTGAAGATCTGGTGCCTAAAGCACTTCCAAACTCCAGCTGGTGCACCAGAACCAGACAGCAAGTTTCTACGATCATAGGATCGTGGAGTTGTAAGGGACCCTGAGGGTCATCTGGTCCAACCCCTTCAATGCAGAGATCTCAACTCATGCATCCATGACAGATGGCCAACCTCTGCTTAAAAACCTCCCAGGAAGGAGAGGCCACAACCTCCTGAGGGAGACCGTTCCACTGTTGAACATCCTTCACTGTCATAAGGTTCTTCCTGATGTTTAGTCAGAATCTCCTTTCTTAGAACTATACAGTTGGAATGGACCCTGAGAGTCATCTATTATAACCCCCTGCAATGCATAAATACCACACACAGCTGTTCCCTGGGTGGGCTCGAACCACCAACCTTCTGGTTAACAGCCAGATTCATTGAGCCACCTGTAACTTAAATCCATATCTATCTATCTATCTATCTATCTATCTATCTATCTATCTATCTGTCTATCTATCTATCTATCTGGGACGACAGAGGAGGAGATGGTTGGACAGTGTTCTCGAAGCTACCAGCATGAGTTTGACCAAACTGTAGGAGGCAGTGGAAGACAGGAGGGCCTGGCCTGCTCTGGTCCATGGGGTCATGAAGAGTCGGACATGACTGAACGACTAAACAACAACAAATCTATCTATTTATCTATCTATCATCTATCTATCTATCTATCTATCTATCTATCTATCTATCATCTATCTATCTATCTATCTATCATCTATCTATCATCTATCTATCATCTATCTATCTATCATCTATCATCATCATCATCATCTATCCATTGATCTAATTTATTTATACATTTGCACTCTGCCTTGCAGCCAGAAAGTTTCTCAGTGTGGCTTACAAAAATCAGCATCAGAATAGGCCTGGCCTTCTGGTTTACAGTGCCTCACCCATGCAGCAGGACTTCCTCCTCTTCTCCCCACGCTCTCCTTCCTGAAAAAAATCTGCTGTGGAGGCTCCCCCAACCCTCTGGAGGAGATTTCAGGGTGCGGGTGAGGGGCTGCAGTGGATAGATTTCAGTGAGGTTGTGTATGGGCGTGCCCATCCACTGTCTTTTGGAAGTTGTCACACGCAGTGCTGTATCATGAACATCAAAGGTCTTAGGCACAGCAAAACAAAAGAGGCATGGGATCCTGTCCATGGAAGTCTAGCAGGCTCTTGGGGATTTGCAGAAATGCTCTAGATCAGCCTTTCTCAACCTGTGGGTCCCCAGATGTTGTTGAACTACAACTCCCATCACCCCTAGCTAGCAAGACCAGAGCTCAGGGATGATAGGAGTTGTAGTCCAACAACATCTGGGGACCCACAGGTTGAGAACTGCTGCTCTAGAGGCAGGCAGGCAGCTGACTGCGTGTAAACGAAATGTGACAGCAGCCACGAAATTAAGAGACGCCTGCTTCTTGGGAGAAAAGCAATGACAAACCTAGACAGCATCTTAAAAAGTAGAGACATCACCTAATCAGCAAAGGTCTGTATAGTTAAAGCTATGGTTTTCCCAGTGGTGATGTATGGAAGTGAAAGCTGAACCATCAAGAAGGCTGATCACCGAAGAATGGATGCTTTTGAATTATGGTGCTGGAGGAGACTCTTGAGAGTCCCATGGACTGCAAGAAGATCAAACCGATCCATTCTGAAGGAAATCAGCCCTGAGTGCTGACTGGAAGGACAGATCGTGAAGCTGAGGCTCCAATACTTTGGCCACCTCATGAGAAGAGAAGACTCCCTGGAAAAGACCCTGATGCTGGGAAAGATGGAGGGCACAAGGAATCATAGAATCATAGAATCATAGAGTTGGAAGAGACCACAAGGGCCATCGAGTCCAACCCCCTGCCAAGCAGGAAACACCATCAGAGCACTCCTGACATATGGTTGTCAAGCCTCTGCTTAAAGACCTCCAAAGAAGGAGACTCCACCACACTCCTTGGCAGCAAATTCCACTGTCGAACAGCTCTTACTGTCAGGAAGTTCTTCCTAATGTTTAGGTGGAATCTTCTTTCTTATAGTTTGGATCCATTGCTCCGTGTCCGCTTCTCTGGAGCAGCAGAAAACAACCTTTCTCCCTCCTCTATGTGACATCCTTTTATATATTTGAACATGGCTATCATATCACCCCTTAACCTCCTCTTCTCCAGGCTAAACATGCCCAGCTCCCTTAGCCGTTCCTCATAAGGCATCGTTTCCAGGCCTTTGACCATTTTGGTTGCCCTCCTCTGGACACGTTCCAGTTTGTCAGTGTCCTTCTTGAACTGTGGTGCCCAGAACTGGACACAGTACTCCAGGTGAGGTCTGACCAGAGCAGAATACAGTGGCACTATTACTTCCCTTGATCTAGATGCTATACTCCTATTGATGCAGCCCAGAATTGCACTGGCTTTTTTAGCTGCCATGTCACACTGTTGGCTCATGTCAAGTTGGTGGTCAACCAAGACTCCTAGATCCTTTTCACATGTACTGCTCTCAAGCCAGGTGTCCCCCATCTTGTATTTGTGCCTCTCATTTTTTTTGCCCAAGTGCAATACTTTACATTTCTCCCTGTTAAAATTCATCTTGTTTGTTTTGGCCCAGTTCTGTCAAGGTCATTTTGAAGTATGATCCTGTCCTCTGGGGTGTTAGCCACCCCTCCCAGTTTGGTGTCATCTGCAAATTTGATCAGGATGCCCTTGAGTCCATCATCCAAGTCGTTGATAAAGATGTTGAATAAGACCGGGCCCAAGACAGAACCCTGTGGCACCCCACTAGTCACTCTTCTCCAGGATGAAGAGGAACCATTGATGAGCACCCTTTGGGTTCGGTCAGTCAGCCAGTTACAAATCCACTGAGTGGTAGCATAGTCAAGACCGCATTTTACCAGCTTCTTTACAAGAATATCATGGGGCACCTTGTCAAATGCCTTGCTGAAATCAAGGTAGGCTACATCCACTGCGTTCCCTTCATCTACCAGGCTTGTAATTCTGTCAGAAAACGAGATCAGGTTAGTCTGACATGACTTATTTTCAGAAATCCATGCTGACTATTGGTGATCACAGCATTCCTTTCTAGGTGCTCACAGACTGTTTGCTTAATGATCTGCTCCAGAATCTTCCCTGGTATTGATGTCAGACTGACTGGGCGATAATTATTTGGGTCCTCTCTTTTCCCCTTTCTGAAAATAGGGACAACATTTGCCCTCCTCCAGTCTGACGGGACTTCGCCTGTTCTCCAGGAATTCTCAAAGATGACTGCCAGTGGTTCTGAGATCACATCTGCCAGTTCTTTTAATACTCTTGGATGCAGTTCATCTGGCTCTGGAGACTTGAATACATCTAAACTAGCCAAGTATTCTTGTACTATCTCCTTAGTTATTCTGGGCTGTGTTTCCTCTGCTGAATCATTTGCTCCAAATTCTTCAGGTCGGGCATTGTTTTCTTTATCGGAGAAGACTGAGGCAAAGAAGGCATTGAGGAGTTCAGCCCTTTCTGTGTCCCCTGTTTGCATTTCACCATCTTCTCCTCTGAGTGACCCCACTGTTTCTTTGTTCTTCCTTTTGCTACGAACATACCCATAAAAGCCTTTTGTGTTGCTTTTAACCTCTCTAGCAAGCCTGAGTTCATTCTGTGCTTTAGCTTTTCTGATTTTGTGTCTACACGTGCTGGCTATTTGTTTGAATTCCTCTTTGGTGGTTTCCCCCCCTTTTCCATTTATTGTACACAACCTTTATTAATCATAACACAGTTAAAAGTTCTTTAGATAGCCACCCTGGCTTCTTTAGGCACCTTCCATGTTTCCATCTCATTGGTATTGCCTGAAGTTGTGCTTTTACTATCTCCCTCTTAACAAACTCCCAGCCATCATGAACTCCCTTTCCTTTTAGTATTACTGTCCATGGGATCTCACCCAGCACTTCCCTAAGTTTTATGAAGTCGGCTTTCTTAAAGTCAAGAAATTGAGTCCTAGTATGCTTGGCTGCTCCTTTCTGCTGTATAGTAAACTTCAGAAGAGCATGATCACTCGCGCCTAATGATCCTTCCGCTTCTACCCCACTAGCCAGGTCATCAACATTGGTTAGGACCAGATCTAAAATGGCTGTTCCTCTTGTTGCTTCTCCCACTTTCTGGACAATGAAGTTGTCTGCAAGGCCAGTGAGGAATCTGTTTGACCTTATGCTCTTGGCTGAGTTTGACATCCAACAAATATCTGGGTAATTGAAGTCCCCCATTACTACTATCTCCCTTCCTTTTGCATGCTTGGCCATCTGTTCCAGGAAGGCATCATCTATGTCCTCCGTTTGGCTTGGGGATCTATAGTAAACTCCCACAATGAGGTCACTGTTATTCTTCTCTCCCTTAATTTTGACCCAAATGCTCTCACTTTGGCTTTGAGGTTCTAAATCTTGGATCTCTTCACAGGTATACACATCCCTGACATATAACGCCACTCCTCCTCCTTTCTTGTCTGGTCTGTTTCTCTGAAATAGATTGTATCCCTCCATTATTACATTCCAATCGTGGGACCTATCCCACCAGGTTTCAGTGATGCCTATTATGTCATATTTAGTTTGCTGTACCAAGAGCTCAAGCTCATCTTGTTTATTTCCCATGCTTTGCGCATTAGTGTACAGACATTG